TATTTTCTCCCTCAAGATGTTGAACACTTCCTTTGGATAAATTCCATGAACGGCAGCTGTTATCCTTGTCAGGAAACAGCCGACCTGGGTAATAATCTGCAAATGTGCCAGATTCTAATCATTTTTTATAAGTTAATAATAATAACATCAAATAATGTTCTCTTGCATAAATCATGCATCAAATGAATCTTCCAATAACATGATGATGAATTGAAAAAGATGAGAATATTTAAACAGGTGCAAATAGCTTGTTCACTATAGTCACCCGGTTGCAAATCGTTTTGTTCACTACAGTCACCCGGGTACAAATGCATTGTTCACTGAAGTCCCCAGGGGGCAAATAGCATTGTGCATTAAGGTCAACAGGATGAAAAAAGCATTGTTCACTATAGTCAACCGGGTGCAAATAGCATGTTATTCTTAACTCTAAACCATATTATTTAAATATATTACCTATAGTTAGTGCCGTCGTTTTTTTCAAGGAAAGCAGGAAATTAATTTTAGGCATCAGTATGATTATTTATCTATTTGAGCAATTCTACCTCCTTTGTCTATACCAGGGGTTTTCAAAGTGTGGGAAGGTGAACCTCCCCTCAGAGAACATAAGAACAGCCGCGCCCACCCTCCCAATTATTATTGCTATTATTATTATTATTATTATTGTTGTTGCTGCTATAATGCAGGGTTATTAGTATCCAGTGGAATGCCCTTACCTACTGGCCTAGTTAAATCAAAGTGGCTGGGCAGTGGAGTTTTACACACCGTCTTATTTGACTTTCTCAGGAATTAAAACTGTTTTTTGGGGGAAGACCCTCACAAAGAAAAAAATATATTTACACATGTAAGGTCTATCTTAACAGTTTGTTATGCTCATCGAGTCATCCGTGAGCAGAGCATCAAGTTGACATTTCTATAACAGCTGAATGCGGCGATTACCATGTTGTTCAGCAACACGCCTCACAAACTGATTAAGATCCAAAGCTTTAGTGCATTTTGATTCGATGCTGAGTACAGCCAGACTTCACAGTCTCTTCTCTGTCATTGCAGACCGCAAATACCTAATTCCTTCGGTCTACATGGGGTACGAATCATAGGTCCGAATGTGCCGTACGAATCATAGGTCCGAATGTGCCGTCCCGTTCAAATGAAATCGCCGCCAATTACATTTCCTCGCTCGCGCCAGGGCCGGGGGAGGGGTTATAAGGCTCGCGTCTTTGTGCTGCATTCACTTGCACTCGGACATTAGGNATGTGTTTGGATTATCATGACAGACAAGAGCCACGCCAGAGCCCTCGCCGCCGGCTGCCCCGTTGAGGCAAACCCCAAGTAGGGGCCTAGAACGAAGGGGTGTGAGAGGGGCCTCCACCGACTGCCGTTTAACATCCACTCTCATCCGTGAGGCGGTACACCGCTCAGAGGATTAGTAGAGGTGGGTGTGCAGTAATACTCTCAAATGAGGCGTTACCACGGCGCTCATGGGCTTATTGGTGACCCCGTGTGTAAAGCTGCGGCAGATCTCGGACAGAGGAATGCCGCGAAGGTCTGTGGTTAATAATCCCGAAAAGTTATATACCATCAGGCCCGTAAAAGCGAACCCGCTGTACTAAATCAACAGATCTTGGACGGCAGCTGCCGTAGTTTCTGCGCTCTGATAACTTGTTAACCGATATTTAAAATGTGCAGGCTTTTGTAACAGAACCCTGCTGCGCTATGGTTACCGATATTCCCCATTGGGAATGAAAACCGCAGGAATTTTCCTGTGTTTGGATGATTGGGTACGTTGAAAGTATTGCATTCCTTTTAGGTCTATAGAGTGAACCAGAGTCTCCCTGGTGAACCACAACTCTAGCACCCCTTTTGACCGTCAGCATGTGAAACGGACCTTTTTCTATTATTGCCTCGTTGAACGCTGGACAGGTCCGATGATGGGATCTCTGCTTCCTCGGGCGGCTCTCGTGGAGCAGACGACGAACCGGAAGTACTTTATCTTTTTTCTTTTCTGGTGGGGGCGGAGGCGCGGACGGTGCCCCTGCCGCCGCCGGACGGGCGAGTCTGCCGCCTCGGCTGTCTCTCTGCCTGCCGCTGTGGCGGGTTGGCCGCCGTCTGCTGGCGCTGCTCTGCTGCCTGTGGCCGCTGCGGCTTCGCCGCAGGCTGGAGCCAGCCAACGTGCTGGCGGATATCATCCACCTGCTCCGCTGCCGCTTTCATGGCCTCTACCATGGCCAAAAACTGGGGTCCGAACAGCCCTTCCGAGCTGATCGGAGCGTCCAGCAAGACCTTCCTGGCCGGCTCTGTAACAGCCGCCTGTTGCAGCCAGAGGTGGCGCTGGATCTGCGTCATCCACGCTTCGATCCTCGCCTAGGAGACAGCCACGGACGCGCACAGCCTGAGCACCGTGCTGGCCGCCTTGCCGATCTCCTCCGCCTCCTCTGGAGCCACGGTGGTGGACCGCTCCACCAGCGTAACCACCGAGTTTGCCAGCAACGCGATGTTGTTCGCCGCCGCAGACGCCTGAACCGCACACTGGTGCGCCCGGTCAGCCTGGCGGGCGACATACTGATCCTTGGGGGAGGCCAACACAGGGCGCCGTCCGGCGACCAAGTTGGCCTGCTTAACCCCAAAGAACGCTGTCCTATTTATACCGGAAGGAGGCCCGAGGGTGGGGCCCACCTTGCAGGTGGGCGTGGACTACAAGTGTTTCAGTGCTGCGCGGGGGCGCAGGGGGATTACCCAATAGCGATAGCCTTAGAGGGCGAAGCCATATACGAAATAGAACACAAGCTATAATTCAGCAATGGGAAGGATTCCCAGTGTTATGACTTGGAAGTGCTAATCAACAGGTGCAATGAGTATTTAGCTGTATAAAAGTCAACGTTGGTTGTTTGCAGCCATTGTAGTTCAGAAACATTACTCGGAACTTGTTTAAAATTTGAAGGGGTTAAACTGAAATTAACCAATATAATATTAAAAAGAGCATTTTTAGGTTTGTTTTTTGTTCATTAACACGACATTTAAGACAATTCTATCTCCGCATCAAGGCAGTGCAATAATCACATAAGTTATTCTAATATCACTCTACTGATGCAAACAAACTAGCCTCGACAGGGCAGAAGCATTCCTTCTTCACTATCTATTTCAATACAAACAAACAAACAAACCACTACCCAAACTTCCGAATAGAATACACACAACAGTGCAAAAGGTGAACAATAACGACTTCAGCATCCAAACAAACACAGGGTTAATTTACTCACCATTTTTGAGATATTGGTCATTCTCCGGTTCTTCATGGAAGACAACTGGTTGATATTCATGTCCATATCAGATACTTCTTCACAGAGGAGGTGTTGCTGCGTAGTTTTTGTTGTCCACTTTCACCAAAAGTCCACCTTCCATGGCTGCTACCTAGCGCACGGTGTTAGCATAACTTAGTTAATTAAGCTAACGGATGATGTCACTTGATAGCTCACTTTCTTGTTGTTGAGTTAACAGCCTGTTGTGTTGTCCAAGTGCATTTGTCGAACGTTTCATGAGCCCACATTCAGTACATTCAATATTATTAGCGAGACAATATTGGCTATATACATGTCTGGATAATTGATTAATAAAGGAGCCAGCTTCACTTGGCGTTCTTCTTCCTCGTTTATTTTAATGGCGGACTACAAACCAAAGTGTTGTGGCATGCCACCACTCATCGTACCGTAGCGTGTAATGTTACGACTGTGAGAAGAACATTTTCTCATTTATGACTACATTTCAATTAAATAATAAATAAAACAAGAGAAAATATAATTTTATTTTTTTCCAGAAAACGGTTTCCTAAAGCCCATGGTGGCATCCTCAAATGCCATACTTTTTTCACAACAGGGGTAAAGAAACCAGATCATATTCAAACTAAAGAGGCTGGAATAAGATCATCTTTGATTTTCTCCAAAAAATTACATATACTGATTTATCAGCCAAAAGAGTATTTTGAGAATTAATTGATTAATAAAAGCAGCACTATTATTTATATTGGTCTATGTTCTTAATGTCTATATTTTGGGATACTGAAGTGATGAGTTTTTCTTTTTGAATGAGCACAAAAATAGCCTATAGGTTGTGAAATTATAACTGTATTTTGGACTTGAATTTGTAGCCTAAAACCAACATAAATGTGCCCAACTTCAGTCCCCAGAGTACATTTGATTGTCTAGAATTCCCTTGATTGATTTCTGTAGAAAATGAAATGACAAATTCTGCAGGTAAATAAAAGAGCAGAACATCAACAGGCTGGATTAGGAAAATGAATATTTGAACATGGTTAGAACAACATCTGTGATCAAAGGCTTAGCGGTTCAAGCCATTGGGAGAATCAAATTGAATGTGATCATGCATCTTTCATATATCTTTCCTAAAACATTCCTTAGTCTACCCAAAAGTAAACGTTCCTTATTTTTTTGCTGAGCCATCAATGCATGACTGTCCCCTTTGCCTTTGCCTTACTAGCAAAGGCAAAGGGGAGCAACAATGATTTGAATACATGTAATGAGGACACTGGAGGAAAGATTTAATGTCTGACTTATAGGAAGGAACCTTCAAACACAATACATCTAATGATGTCTGCAAGTCATAGGATTATTGTCAGGAGTTTTTTCAAAGCATTTATTGATAAGCTGGTGTTCAATGATCAATGTCGATTTGAAACCAATTTGGACCTTTACTTTACAATTGTACTTGTCACTCTAGAGAACATCCAATCTTCTTCATGACAACACTTGCTATAGTTAGTTTATCTTTGAATTATTTACATATATCCCTCTCATTACCTCAAGATGTAATTCTTCGGGGCAATAAATACTCTGAAAGTCATATTGCGATATATCTAAATCAATAGAGCCTATCTTTCTATCTATCTATCAATCTATTCATCTTTTTTTATATTAATGCTCTCTCTGTTTAATTATAATTGTACAAATATAAGTGTATACAGTGTGTAACGTATATTGTGTTTGGCAGGTGACTGGCTGGCTGGTATTCCACCCTACCCATTTTCCTCTTGAGGACATCCCATTCCAGGACATTGCTTTGGCCTTACTTCCCCCCAGCATGGAGATGGAACCCACTAAAGTCCCGTCAGAGGGCGGCCTCAATGTCACCCTCACCATCCGCCTCCTCATGCACGGAAAAGTAAGCAGACAGACTTTTTATCTGGCTTTGGTAAAAAAAAGATACGACATGCAGGGAAACAAGTGCCTAATTTAATGGGCCCTTAAGTTATTTATGACCTTTTAAGAAACCATTTGGAGCTAATTGATGTTCTCTCTAACAAGTCCAGAGCTATTATCCACTTTTAGGTCAGAAGCCTCAACACGTAGAGGGTCATTTCACTAATTGTATAGCTACCTTACACTAATTATGATGCCATTGGCTGTTATCACTGCTTGGACATGGACCAACTTATTTTTAACAGAGAACCTGTGTTTCAAGCTGACGGCATATACGTAAAAGAGGTTGACCAGGCAAAGAGGCTCTGGTGAAAATATGCTATTGGTTGCAACATGGGAAGAACATGGATCAAGCAGTTCTTCAAGTAGAACCACAAAGAAACTGATGACGCTTACAGAATGGAAACCAAGAGATTGAACATGTTCGCACTATTGGCAAGAATTTCAATTTTTTAAGTCAAGCAAGAAATGTGCTTGATGCTGTCTCACGAAAGCCAATCAGCATTGAATGTTCCTCCTTGAATACAGCTATGGGATATGGGATTCAGCGAGCAGTCTGTCACTGGTTTGATGTCATGACTGCAGACACAAAGTAGTTTGGTTCGACATATTGAAAGGCTTTTACGACATTCTCTACGTGGAAAGGGTGGTCCTTGGGCCATGACTGATGAAACGCTGTTGGTATCTTTGTCTCTCCGGTTTGCTAATTTAAATGACCAGAGTACAGACAAATGGACTGTATATATAAGCAAAGGTGTATTTAGGTCCTTGTGTGAATGGGCCTCTGCTGCTGACCATTGCCTTTCTGGAACAGTCATTTGTTTAGCTGAGAGATCCACATTCACATTAAACTCCCAAAACATCCACCAGCTGTACAACCCTTATTCTGAGAGAACAGCATCAAAACATTTGATATTAACATAGTGTATATATTGTCACCCCCAGTCAACCCCTCTCACCAGGCTCTGTGCAGAGTGTGACATCCACATGGGAATACAACATGACCTTGAGTATTACAAAAATGAAGTTGCTGAGCTTTGATTTTTGCTCTGCTGATCTTCTTCTTAAGCCCTTATATAGTACGACAGATTTGACGCGGAGGTCGGCCTCTCTGCATTAAAACCTCTTGGTGGCTGGAAGGCAGATGTCTTTGTCTTCTAGTACAGCTTTGCAATAGCTTGACCTCAATACAGTATACTTTGCAAGTTATCAGTGTCCTCACTCAATTTGTTCATCCTGCCAAATCTAGAGATCTATACCAAAGGGAAAAAGGGCATTAACAAATCCTTGGTTGAGGTTTTCCACTCTTTATTTCTGTGACCCATTTATTTGAAACTCCTTTGTTTCTCAACTTATTTTTTCCATTTATTTGATCTCTTTGAATCTTTCCAGGTGCTGATAGATTGAAGTTTTATGTCCATCCAATTTCGTGTTTTGTTTAAACGCAACTCCATTTGTATCATACCTTATTCCCCTAGATGATATTGGAAGGGTTGTAAATGCTTCTTTGGATGAAAAATGTTTATGACTTTCTCCTGAATTGCCCCGCTCAAGGACTTTTTCAACACTGGTCAAACTAATTCTTTACATATGAGATATAATGTGATGAACTGTATTTTGACAGGATTTCTATGTCCCATCTCTTTTTAGCATTGCCATAATTGCCTTGTTCCCTGTAGGATAGTATAACGTTTAGATTTTTTACTTTTTTGTTCAAGCAACTGAAGCATTCTCTGACTGTGTTCTGCCAATGTACTGTTTCACACGAAAGCTCATCATGTGTGAATATTTAGAGAAATTATCATAACCTAAAATACATTTAGTAGCCAGTGGTTCAAATGAATATATTACAAATCATTTTTGCATACACTTCCTGTCCATTCTCTAGTAATTTTATTAGCATACATCCATACATACATCATTTTTTGTGAATATCTTTCCAATTTATTATCTATTTTGTTTGTCGTTCTTTTGCACTTTTTTAAAGAGATAGTGTTCCAGTTGATATTTGTGTGGATTTTGTTCTAAGTTTCATTTTGTCCTTATTCCTTTCTTTGATTATAACATATACTTAAAGGTGGGGTATGTAATTTATTTCATTAACACTTTTTGTTATATTCCATGGAATGCTCTTAACATCCTGCTTTGGCAATAAATACATAAAAAAATGTTATCTGTGGAAGCCGTAGCGCTGTAAAAAGCACGACCAATCATCTGAGCCGGCCCGGCTAAAATAACTGGATGGCCTTCCATCTCGTGCACAAACTTATCTCGTGCCCTCATTGGTCATGTGCGCGTTCGTGTGTGCCGGAGGAGGGGCTCTGTAAGGAAGTGGCAGATTTTTTCCGGTTGTGTATTTTAAAATTCTAGCACACTCGAGCTGGTTTCTCCAAAATTACATACCCCACCTTTAATTAGCATTTAAACAGATCATTAAATGTTGAAAACTAAGACCGTCCTTGGCAACAGTATACTGTGTAGTCTGACATACAGAGCCACTGGGATCAGGTTGATCTGAAAACTCCACTCCAGACTTCTACTGACTCTGCTTAGCGTGTTCTATCTGCCCTCAGTGTTTTCAGGTTTCACAGAGCACAGAGTAAGTGGGCATCAACATTGTGTTCAGACACTTGTGAAGCGTGCTCTCCGGCTCCTCTTCTACTCTTTAAGAGCTGGTCAGATCTGTCTGTATGTGTATGTGTGGGTGAAAATTCTGGTTAAGATCCATCATGCTCGGTTAACCTCTGCTGTTTTTCTGCCTCTTCTGCAGAAAAGCTGTGGCAATTTTGCGTGAACTAAGAGCTGCAAGCACTTGTTCTGGGTCTGAACAGTTTGTTAAAGGGCAATGGCTTTGAGTGAAATAGAAAGAAGGTTTTTACTGCCTTAAATCTAGGGTGGGTAATGTGTTTTTGAAACATTTTGTTATATTTGTTGAAATGCACTTTGCATCATGACAAAACAAAGGCATATTTTTTAATATATGGTGGTTGCAGGAACATAATAAGTCCTTCCAATCATTCCATCTTCCAACCGGATGCCGGTGGTTTAATCTCTCCGTAATGATGTGTCCTTGGGCTAAATAATTAACCCCAAATTGCTCCCAATGGTATGCCCTGTGTATTTAAAAGCACTTTAAGGGGTCGTAAAGACCTATAAATTATTATAAAAATGCAGTCCATTTATCATTTGCACTTATTCCACAAGCTGCTACCTTGACTTGTTTGAGTAACAATATAGCAAATTTGGTCATTTTCGTTCATAATGCTATTTTATAGGACTGGCTTTGGAGTAATGCTTGAAGGGACAGGGATGTCGCCAATTTGGTCATTTTCTTGCTTGAGTTAAGCTTTTGGATTTTCTTTTTGCGAAGCGGCTATGGTATTTTAATTGGAAAAGATTAGGGAATATTGGGCTGGGTTTTTTCATTGGATAATGTTAAGGCCACGAGTTCATTTTAGAACCCACACTATACATCTTCACTGAGGTGCCCTTCTTGGTAGGGGGCGGGGGATCCCTGTCTCCATAAAACTAAACAACATACTTAATTACCTTTCAAGGGAAAATATATTTCTCCCAGATTATCTCTTAGCTTTAAGCATGTTGTGAATTGAAAGAAAACAAAACACACTATTCTATTCAAAACTAACTACATATATGTGTTAGGTGTGGTAAAAGATCCCTTGGCTTTAAGTATGTTTGTCATGTCCATTAGGTTACAGATCTACATTTTAAAAAGTAACGGTGACTTCTGATTTCACAAGAGACAATCATCCTTTTCGTCCAACTCCCTGACCTTTGCATACAAATATCGGTGATTTGTCAAAAACAAACGTAAACAGTGACATGTTTACCTTGAAGCGCAATTAACTATGTGGTTTTGTTGTGTAGGAATGTCATTTTAAGGAGACTTGGCTTGGCTTTGAAGTGTTGGAGAGCATGATCGGGTGCCCCTTGGGCTAGAAGTGCTTTGCTAAGACACAACCATTCCTCCACAGTGTTGAAGTCTGAAAAGTGTCCATTAACGTGCGTATACTGTCCTGGATACCCCTGCCTCTGAATCTAAATATTGTACGTCATAGATGTTTTTTGTTTTGGGTATGAATTTTTCATTACCATTTGTGGCTAGTAACAAAAGTATTACTGGAAATTCTTTGGAGTAAAGGATTAAACAAAAAGGCTTCAACGTCACAACGGATGTTACCCTGGCAGTCACCGAGGAGAGGTTAGTGAGTGTTGCTGGTGCAGTCAGCGCCGCCCCATGAAGAGTAACTGCATGCATATGGAGAGTGATACCCTCCACACTGTCATGCAGCCATGATCCTCTGCATGCCCCTTTACTGGTTAAACTTTGTCAAGGGATAACAGCAGCAAGGCAGTTTTAGTACTGTATATTCATACATAAGATTCTTCAATGAAGCCTTTTTTATAAACCATGTGTTTTTCTCTCTTTTATTGCAGGAGGTTGGAAGTATAATTGGAAAGGTATGTCATTTTTATCGTCACACATGTTTGTACTCATGGAAAAAACTTTGATTGAGGATTTTAATTGTATTTTTTAAACACAAATTCTCTTGAATGTTTCCACAGAAAGGGGAAACAGTAAAGAAGATGCGTGAAGAGGTGAGTTTCATTCTTGAAAAATCCTTGTAGCCTTTTTGCGTAACAATGTGATTTACTGCTATACTTTACAGAATAAAACAATTGCTTACATGCGTGTTGTTTTGTAGTGGCTTCAGTGATTACATTATTTCTGTTTAGTAGAGATTCATTCCTGAATTGAGGTCTTGCATTGACTTTTTTGACCCTATTGACAGTGCATGTTTTTTTTTCCAGAGTGGAGCCCGAATCAATATTTCCGAGGGTAACTGTCCCGAGAGGATTGTCACCATCACTGGACCAACAGACACCATCTTCAAGGCTTTTGCTATGATAGCCTACAAATTTGAGGAGGTATGACAAGATGCACAACTCACTGTGCTCATTAACTGATATTAAATTTGGAGTTGAAGGCCTTTTTTGCCATCTACTGTACATGTTCAAACAGCGTATCTGTCGGCCTGAGTTTATTAGTGTCATTTTAGGTAAGTGTTGAGTCCAATCCCATTTCATACAGTCTATCGTGGTGTTTCGGCTATTGTAACTCAATTTATCACAGCTGACACACAGGTCTGTCTATATGATAATGGGCTAGTTGGTATGATGCTTTATTTTGCACCAATTATTGTAGCTATTAAAGAGTGAACACAGACTTTACTGACACATATATATGTCGTGTTTACATAGCCAAGATGGCGGTCATTAAGTTTAAGAAATGTCCAGTGTTCTTGGTACTCATAGTTCGGGAGGCACTTATACACTCATAACAGCAAATGTAGTTATAGAAGTACGCAAATTGTGACTCAGCAATAGAGTAAATATGTATACACGCTCCTGCAGTGGTTGTTTGTATTTCAAAGCTTTAATACTGCAGGTGAATTTAAATGGCATCCTTTCGGCGACCTTCTCTGATCCTGTCTCTGATGTCACTTATCTAATTGATATACTTAAGCAGTGTGACTGGAACTTGAAATGATTTGTCCTCAATGACCTGCGTATAATCTGGCCGCTTGTTATTTACTGACAGAGCCAAAGAGCACTGCTTATCAGTCAACATATGAAAGGACGTTTGAAATATATGTTTTTCGGAGCTAGTCCTGGACTTTTACATTTGTTAAACTGATTTATGATGAGTCATTACTAAGTCATTAATTTGTTTGGGTCACATTGAAAATATTACCACTGCAAAATGAAATGTTCTTGTTTTTTAGGACATCATCAATTCCATGAGCAACAGCCAAGCAACCAGCAAGCCCCCTGTCACCTTGAGGCTCGTCGTGCCAGCCAGCCAGTGTGGCTCTCTCATAGGTAAAGGAGGCTCCAAAATCAAAGAAATGAGAGAGGTATGATATCAAACTTGTTTTAATTATTCATTACCATAAGTCAGGCCTTTTATAAGAATACACTTTTATCATTCCGTGTTACTTTGTGAGTCCTTATAGTAGAATAGATATGTAAATGTAATCATTGAATTGTTAAATTGGTCCTTTTCCTAAATGTTTTTTTTCACTTGATATGGTGGAAAATGAATATGAAAGTCCTGTAACAGGCTGTTCCCATTTAACTCCTAATTGCAGCACATTTAAAATGTCACATTGTTCATTCATCAGAACCTACTCCACAACAAAACCTGTATGATAAGTAAATGCGGTCTACAGGCACTGGGGAGCAAATTCAGATGATTAGCTCGGATGTGGGAGATATGGAGGGTTCAAGGGGCAAAGAACAGGCTGGGAATAGACACATACAACACAAACATCTGTAAACAAGACTGTTCACATCTGGCAGTAACATGCATCTTGGGGGATCTGAACACAAATGGACGGCTCTGAAAAGTTAAATTCCCACCTGGTACCATATACAAATGCATTTCCATATGTGTCTCTAGTGACCACTGGTGATTGGCTCTCACTTCTCTGCTCTATATGCACATTTACATATGCATAATTTCTGTTTTAAAAGACCAAATGCATTGGACTCTTCCTGTGCCTAGTGTCTCCAGTGACGCCTAGTTATTGGCTCTGACTTCTCTGCTTGATATGCCAATAAACACATGCATTATCTCTGTTTGCCAAGCCAAATGCATTGCACTTCCTGCGCCAGGTCTGCTGGAAATTGAAAAACAGAAGAATAACTCAGTACCAAATCGCCCAAGACGTTGCACTAAAAATATGCATGTATTTGGGCTTTTACAAACATTTCGGACGTGGAGAAAGCTACATTTTATTATGTATTATTCTGATATCCTTATCAGGAACACATTATGATAGATTAGCGTTGACACCACAATAGATATGCAGCCAAAGTTACCACAGACTACCGTACATCTGCAAGTAATTTTACTGATAGGATCACAATTTGTCTAAACAGTTTTTAGCACTTGTACCAAAACATTTACTGCCCCCAGTCTAATAAACCTTCCTCCAATGCCAGTTTGTTGTGGAAACGTGCTTTCTTCACTTCCTGTGCAGCATTGATTCACTGCAAGAGCAGACTCCTGTTAACATTGTACCTCAAAGTCCCTTGCTCTACTCCCTTGCTCTACTCCAGTCCACAGGGGCCCAGGTCCAGGTAGCAGGGGACATGCTGCCCAACTCCACAGAACGTGCAGTGACAATCTCCGGAACCCCAGAAGCCATCATCCAGTGTGTCAAACAAATATGTGTGGTCATGCTCGAGGTATGTTGAGATATAGCAAAACAACTTTCTTCAAATTGTAGTAAAGAAATTATATATTTCTGCAGATCTTACAAAAACCGGTATTGTGAACAGTTCAAGCTACAAGCGCTACAGTATGTTGCAGCTCTGGCAAGAGACTATTAGTTGTTATATTCAATTCTTGTTGTTAATGCATTTTCTCAGGGTTCAATTTGACAAGCAATCATTTTTTATAATTGAGGCTCAGGAAGCCAATTTGTCTCTTGCTATATCTTTTTTATATTACTGCAGACCTGATTCGACCTAGACAGAGAAACTGAAGAATTCATTTGTGGTGTAACTACTTTAAGAACTTTAACTGATAAAAATAATCTCATTACAGTGGAGTTGAAGCAATTTGTATTACCACTTGACCACGTCTTGTGTATAACTATCCATGAGAACTGTCAGGAAAAGCCTATTTCTGCAACATTAGGAAGACACTTGCTGTTTATGATATTGAATTTGGAGCTAATACCCATGTGGGTAATCCTCCTCCTACAGCAGCAGCTACAGAGGAAACCTGATTTAGCCTTCTCTCCACTGTCTTGAACAGCCTTGTTGCTGAAGCACAGCAAAAATCGATAAGTCTGTCGAAATTGTCAATTCAGAGCTGGAAATCCCCAACCTTCTCACTGAAATCCCCTCCCTGCTGCCGGAGAAATATAAGCCAGCAAAAAAGTAAGATAGAAAAGAGTTGCGGAGATTCAAGCTCTAGTCCTCAGGATTTACCTGCCGGGTCTATGTATTTTCCTATCTTTATGAATACATCTGCACTCAACAACTCCTTTATTTTTCATGAACAATATATTTAAAAAGCTGCCAGAAATAAGAAAAGAAAATCACAGTAAGCGCACAAACACATTATTGTCTCAGTTACTGAAAGTGATTACCTAGAATATTTCTACATTATTTTCAGTTATTTCTGCAATTTTCTTGATTTTCCCAATTATACCCTGTTCTTTTTCCTTTTAATCTCATCATTACTCGAAGCATTGCCAATATTGTCTGTCTTAGATTCATGACAATAAAGCATATTGGATGGGATCGAATCTTCCCTAATGATTATTGAATAATTATGGCTTTCCAAATCTATACCCTGCATGCATTAAATAACACACAGTAAATAGCTGGCTAGGAAAACATGAGTATTTTAAAGAAATAGTTCAAGATTTAGACAAATATTCTTATTAGGTTTCATACTAAAAATTAATTCAGGAGATCAATACCATCTGTTCATTGAATCTGAAGCTAGCTTAGCATACAGACAGGAAATGGGGAAACGGCTAGCTTGGCTCTGGTGAAAAGGTCACATCATCTGCATCTCATCACCACTAAAGGTCACTTACTCTGTTGCTTTTACAATTTAGTTTAAGTACAGATTAAACAAAGAAGACATGAAATGTTACTTTGTGAGGTAGTTATTTTGCTAAGCTAAGCTAAAATATTTAGCGTGGCCTAATTTTAGAGTTTCTGCTATCTTTATTCAACTTTTTCCTAATAAAGTAAGAACATGCTAACTGCCTCTCCTCTCTTTCTCTCAGTCTCCACCAAAAGGTGCCACCATCCCTTATCGCCCAAAGCCTGCCTCCACCCCGGTCATTTTTTCTGGTGGCCAGGTAAGCTGAGCTATCTTGTTAATTTCTGCCTACAGCTAACCTGAGACTTACTGCAGAATCAGCTGCTGCCTGCTGTTCCTGCAAGCCTTTTAACAGTTTTTGTCTGTGCCAACACAACCCTTTAACAAATCATGCTGTCCCTGTTCCAAAGCTTACATCATTGGTTGTAAGTCGCTTTGGATAAAAGCGTCTAACAAGTAACATGTAATTGGTTGTTTGTTTGCTAATGCTAAAATAGCCTGTGTTTACATTTTCCTGACAAGTGTGTTCCTTTTTTTTTTTTTTAACCTTTATTTATACAGATGAATCCCATTGAGATCATTGATCTCTTTTTCAAGGGAGACCTGCTCAAGTAGTTCCACATGAAACATAAAAACATAAATAGAACAACAAAAGGACATCATACAGCATCATTTACATAATTATCCACATAAACAGGTACCAATAGC